TTTGCACTGTCGATTATCCATAGTGATAGCAGCTTGTTTTCTGTAGAAAATGCAGGCGAGCAAGAAGTCCCAGCAAAAATTCTGTTACTTGTTGGACCCGACGAGATAGAACCAACTGGAGACCAATGTAATAGTTCACGCAGGAGTTTATTACCGGCCGGGACCTGAGCTGAGTATCGGACTTGAGCCCCGACTGGGGGGAGACAAACAGGTTTTATACACTTTTGAGGCCAACAGTTTCCAGGCCTCCCATTCGAGAAAACTACCAAAACAAGCAAAAGGTACAGAAGTGGAACGTCCTGCTGTTAGAGCACTTCAAAGTCACAACTCAGTATAGTTCATTTTCTTCTAAGGAGAGGAGATTTCCAAACTTCCTCTTTCTGGGTTCACTAAAGGACAAGCATATGGGTCAAGCAACAATATGGAGTCTGTCATGTTAACTAAGGTCTTTCATTACTGACAAAAGTATACTGAGTGAATATTGGTCTTTACCTTTATCCGATACATTTTTAGTCTGGGAGGGAAATGGACATTTTAATATATTGAGTGAAGTAGTTCTGTTTATGTAGCAAAGCCAAATAATGAAAAAAAGTGATAATAATAAAATTGATTTAAGTTCCTACTAGGCCAGGCACAACACCAAATAACGAGCTGCTAGGAAGCAGGTATTAGCATACTAATTTTTACAGTGTGGAATTAAGTCCAGAGAAACGAAGTAATTCTTTTGAGGTGACACAACTTCTAAACGGTAGAGATGAGACTCAAACACAGACCCATTTTAATTTTGTGCACTTTCCACCATGCCAAATATTCACCAGATAGTACAAATATAAACTATATTGGTGTTATATATTAGTCTGTTCTCTTCAGTGGTCTGCACATATGATTGTGAGTTGATTGCTGCCACAAAACCATCTCTAAGAGGAATACTATGATATTATAAAATCACTTATGAAACTGTTGCACTCAGAGGAACTCAGTCTTGATTACTAAAGTACAGAAGCCACACACATTGCTTCAGTGAGCATTTGCTGCCGTCAGTTCACCTTCCTTTCCCCTTGACATGCTGCAGTTCTTGGTGATGGATAGTTCCTCTCTGTTTCTAACCTTTAATCTCCTTTGTGATGTGTGTCGCAGACTCGAGTCCCAGAGAGGTCATGTGCTTGCATTTTGTGGACCTTTGTCTCTGCTGACATCCCCATGGCTGGCTGATTAATGGATAATTTCTTTGTAGATAATTATGGACTAATGAGAAACAGAGAGCTCTGCACATGCAATTGCATAGTCGGGGGGGAAGAAACACAAAATCAAACAAATGAAACAACTCTCTATTCTTTGCACATAGATCCGAAAGCATTCTAAAACTTAACCTTGAATTTCCTTCAAAATATTATTCCTATTTCCTTAATAGTTTTTTTTTAAAGCTGGGGACAGCATACACTTATTCCATCATACACTGCTCCTTTATTCTCACTTGTTCATTCATTCTGCCATCATTTAGTGAGAGCCTGCTCTACCATAGATGTTTTCCTAGCTACAAAGACATAGAGACAAATGAAAGATTGCCCCTGACCTCTAGGAGCTTTTAGCTTCATTTTTTTTAAAATACAAGGTCTCGCTATGTAGTTCAGGCTGGCCTGGATTCACTACATAGCCCAGGCTGGCCTTGAACTTGCAGATATCCTCCTACTGCAGTCTCCCGAGTGCTGGGATTACAAGTGTGTGCCACCACGCCTGCCCCTGGCTTCATATTTTATAAGCATTAATATGTATATTATGACTACAAGACACTATGATGTGATTAAAAAATGGAAGTTCAAATAATGTTTAAGTATTGCCACAATGATTATGTTTAACACACAACTCTGAAACTCAATAACTCTGAGCAGTAATCACTACACTACAGGTTGGATGGTACATCAGTCAGGTAGGGCTCTCATAATAAAATACTGCCACCGATTGGGGGCTTTAAGAATAAAAATTTGTTTTCTTGCTGTTGTGGAGGTTGGAAGTCCCACACCAAGGTGATGAGTTCTGTTGAGGCTTTCTCCTTGGCTTGTGGGCAGGCTCTGTGTCTTCACGTGGTCTTTCCTCTGTGCAGAGACAGGTCTGTATTTTAATCTTCTCTTCTTTTAAGGACACCAGTCATATTGCATTAGAAGTCATTTACCTCTATGTCAGTTATCTCTTTTAAGGCCTTGTCTCCAATTACAGTCGCAGTGCGCAGTACTAGGGGTTAGGACATATTAATTTTGGTAAAGGAGCGAATTCAGCCTTTGTAGAAGAGGCTTAGTTCATATGTGCTGAGCTCAGTGTCCTTGGCAGGCCTCATGTCTCTTGATCTCTTGTGCTAAATGGGGGATATTCTTTTCATGGCTGAAGTTGGAAACTTCTAGAAGGTGAGCAGTGACACAATATTTCCTAAGGCCTGGGGTCAGAATTTGCATATTATCACTCACTCCCAAATTCCATTGGCTAAAATATTACCTTTAATGGTGCAGGGAATACTTGGCCTCCAGTAATAGGAGGTTCCAAGTTGTAAGGTAAGCCTGTGGACACAGGGAGGGATGAAGAATTGGAAGCAATAATGTACTCTACTCAAAAAGTGAAATGCATTCGTTTAGGCTGGAGTTTTCTCTACTCAAACTAATATTTATTTTGCCTCTAGGTATTTAGCAATGAATACTTTTACTCAGGTTCTAAAGTGTATGCTGTGATCTGAATGCTTGTGCCCCTCAATTCATGTTAAAATGTAATCCCAAATGCAATAGTACTAAGATACAGTAAAAAAAAAAAAGTGCCACCTATGAAACAGAGTAAGCCCTCAGTAGACTGTGACTATGCTGGTGCCTTGACTTTGGACTCCCAAGCCTCTGGAACTGTGAGTTGAGCAATAACCTGGTGTTGCTTATAAGTTACCCCAGTCTAGGGTATTTGGTATAGCAGTTGGAATGGACTAAGATAATGTGCTTGTACAATATTAAAAAAATTTCTTTTTGTAACAACTACATTAACAGTTTTTATGGTTGGGATCTACAATATTCCCCAAAAGGCTTATTGTGTTGAAGGCTGGGTTGCTGGAAGATGTCTTATTGGGAAGTAACCTCATCAATAGATTAATCCATTGATGAGTTCACACCTGAATGGGCTGCTAGGAGGTGGGCCTAGTTGAAAGCAGTGAGTGAAAGGGCTGTGACCTTGGGACTGTATCTTGTCCCCAGCTCTTTCTTCTTAGGTTTGCTCACTGTCTCTCTGCTTCTTACCATGAGACAGGCAGTTTTCTTTTGCTATCTCTTTCTGCTCTGATGTTCTCTTTCACTACAGGCTCAGAAACAATGGCGCCAGCTGGCCATGGACTGAAACCTCTGAAACTGTGAGTCAAAATACACTTTTCCTTCTTTAAATTGCTTGCAACAGAAAGCTGACTAACACGGCAGTCATATTTGTTCAGTAAAATTGACCACCACTAATATGCAGTTACACCCCACATCCCTAAAGAGAGGCTCTGACACTGAGGCTGAGGGCCCGAACTGCTACCTCCTTGCTGTTGCTTCCTATCTACTGATTCTCTCAGAAGATTCCATCTGATGTGTGGGGTTAGAAAAGACCCGTGGGCAGTCACTGTTCTGATGGTGAGAATGTTGCTCGGTGAGTGTCCTCTGGTAAAGGTCAGTGCATTGAGAGCAACGTGATTAGATAATAATGTGGTGTAGGTCATTTAAATACCTTGTAAGCAACCGAAGCAGAAGGAGCGATATGTAACAAGGAAGACTCTCCAGTGCCTTTGCTCAGAGAGAAAATTGGAACGGCACCTCTTGTATACACCTGGTAGGCCACCCTTGGTTTATTACAAACTTCAGCTCAATCAGGTGGCCTGTGCTCCACCAGAGATAAGGAGGAAAGGATTACTAAGTGGGAGATGAATGTCTGTGGAATTCGCTATGAGACAAGAGAGAGGGAAGCAAAGCAAATTGGACCACCTTAGGAAAGGAAAAGAAATTTATGGGAACAAAATAATTATAGCAGCAGAAGCAGAGGAGGGAAAAAATGAAGGCACAGACATGAGCAAAGGCGAGACTAAAATTTCCCAAATTGGCTTTTCTCACCCCTGCAGGCTATGTCTATAATCTCCAGGGTCCATGAATTTCATGAGACTTTACCATTTTTCTATTTTCACTTTATGTGAGGGAATGCTAAAGAAAAATTAATCAAAGAATATGTGGAGCCATCCGAATGACTCTTTTAACTGGATGTTGCTAGGCAATTTGAAGCTGCATTTGACCTTCTGTTTACCATCATATTTGGGTTAAACATAAGCCAAAACCATTCTAGGATACTGGATGAAAAGCAATTCGAGGTACTTCAAATATGTTAAAAGATAGAGTTAAGTAACATCTAACAGGTGGCTGTTCAACAAAAAGACCCAGCATCCTGAAGTACTGGTTGATGTTATTCTGAGCTTGAATGTGTACATAGTCCTTGCAAGAGTTTGATATTAGAATTAAAGTATTAAATGTGAAATTATAATTTAAAAAATAGCATTAAAGTATTTCAGTACTTTGCTTTTAGATATGCTATAATATCATCTGCTCCATCAACAAAATGGATCAGGGTTAAGTTTTAGGATAGAGCTAGAATGGGAAATAACAATGGAGACAGAAGTAAAAGCTTCAGTGATGATCTCTCCTGCTTAAAGTCAAAGGAAGACATCAACAGTAAGGGAAACTGGAAGATATACATATATATTTCTTCAACCAAACCCAGTGTTAGCGATATGGTCTCAGTAAACATCATCAGTCAAGTTAATAATTTTTTAAACTCATATGTTAATTGTAGCTTTATTTGTATTTAGTTTGCAAATTTACTTTGGTTGAAGAATTGCCTAAGCATAAGGAGTTTATATTTAATGAAATGTTTGGGCAAGTTTTAAAAACATTGCAATAAAAATTATTTACAGAGGTAGTTGATAGTTTATTTTGCTCATAGAAATACAGTAGGTCCTTCATGTCTGCAGATTCCACAGCCTAAAATTTAACTAACAATGGGCTGAAAATATTGGGAAAAGATTGTGAAAAGATGTAGACTCTTTTCCTGTTATTATTCTCTAAGTGATACAGTCTAACAATTATTTGTGTAGCATTTACATTGTTTGCTATGTGTTTAACCAGGAGATAATTTGAAGCATACAGGAGCCCGTGGGTATGTTATATGCAAATACCATGTCGTCTTACACAAGGGACTTGAGTATGTTCTGATTTTGGTATTTATAGTAAATGGGGGGTGGGACCATCCCCACCCTATTAGTTACTCTGTACTGACTATAATTTGCTCATAAAGGCGATGAAAGAAGGAGGTGATAGGAAGTAGGTGGTGAAAGAAAGATTTTCTTAAGAAGAAGAAGAAGAAGAAGAAGAAGAAGAAGAAGAAGAAGAAGAAGAAAAAGAAGTCCATCGCTGTAGCAAATTGCCACAAGGTGAGTGTTGTGAGACAAGGCAAATGCATTCTCTTAAGATTTTAGAGCCAGAAGTCCACAGGATATCTCACTGGGCTAAAGTTGAGTTGTCAGGCTGATTCCTTCTGGAAGCTGTGGGGGAACTCTGTTTCCTTTCCTGGCTTGTGACTCTTTCAATCACTCCCACCTCCATGTTCTCTAGTCGCTCCAATTATTCCTTTGACCTTCTTACCTCCCTCTTGAAAAGACCCTGGTGACTACATACAGGGTCACTTCGGATAATGTGGGATAATCTCACCATCTGAAGATCTTTAATTTAATCACATCTGCAAAATCTCCTTCACCATGTAAGGAAGGTAATATTCAGTGCTTCCAGGGCTTAGAATAGCTTTGGGAATCATGATTCAGTTTACCTCAGGGACAGAGTTATATTAAGAATCAGGAGTGTGGAACAGGGCTGGGGCAGGGGCAGCGGGTCATCTGTGGAATTATGTATGCAGTTTGGGATTTACTTACTTGATAGATGAAGCAACACTTAGAGACAGATTCTTTGGAATCAAACATTGAACACAAGGAAAGCCTGGGAGAATGACTCTCTCATGTGCTGTTTTTTTTTTTTTTGAGGTGTTAGGGATTAAACTCAGGTCCTTGCACACAATGAGCAAGTGCTCTACTATTGAGCTATAGCCCCAGTTCCTGAAAATGAAATTTTGGGAGAAAAAAACATAGGGGTATTACGATTTTTTGAAAGACAGAAAAAATGTGGATGTTGGTAATCAGCCATTCTTATAATAACAGCTGGATGTTAGTAATCACCTGTTGTTCACATAATCACAGCCATGGGATCACGGTCCCTATGATTGCTTGATTGAATGAAATTATTAGCTACTAGAAAAGTGCCATAGACCGCAAGTTTGTGTTTCTCCTAAAATTCGTATATCGAGAGGCACATGCCTGTAATTTCATCACTCTGGAAGGCCAAGGCAGGAGGATCATGAGTTCAAGCCCAGCCTAGGTGCCTCAGCAATTTAGTGAGACCATGTTTCAAAAATTTTTTAAAAAGTAATAAAAAGGGATAGGGATGTGTCTCAGTGCAGAGGCCCTAGGTCCAATTTCCAGTATCAAAATAAAAAATGTGTATATTGGAATCTGAAGCCCTAGTATTAGGAGCTGGGGCCTTTGGGAATTTATTAGGCCCTGAGGAGGGGCCCTCATGAACAAGATTAGTACCTTATAGGGGCCAAGAAACCAGAGCTCTCTCCTCCCATCAGGTGAGGCGAGAGCCAGGTGATACCCTTCTGTGAACCAAAGAGCTGAGTCCTCGCCAGACACTGAGCCTACTTTGACAAAGGGCTTTCCAACTCCACAACTATGAGAAATAAATTTCTGTTGGGTATAAGCCATTCATCTATGGCATTTGGTTATAGCAGCCTAAATGAACTAAACAAATAGACTTTAAATAGATATTTAGGGGATGTTCTGGAAACTTTTAGGACTTAGAATACTGTAGCATTAGAAATGGTAGGAACTCTTAGGAGAGGCACAGCGTAGGATAAACTTAGAAGTTTTTGGATGCAATGAGTCATAGTTGGCCTTTTTGTATCCCTCCCGCCCCCATCCCTGCTGCTCAGTGAGTTTTGTTCTCTGGCCTTTCTGGTTGTTCAGCTGACTTGGCTGAACTTTCTGGACAGCAGTGAGTAGTTACACCTTTCAGGAGGCCAAGTTATGGAGCTCTGCTAATAGGTGTAACTTGAATATTTGCATCCAGCTTCACAATCACAGGTGAGGTGGAGTTGCCCAGGCCCTCTTTCACTGTGTATGACAACTCCCAGAGTAAGTGTCCTGCCAGCGCTGCTGACACATCCCTGCGAGCCCTATGTGGCTTCTGGATAGGGCTGGCTTCCCTTGGCTGGTGCCATAGGGTCCCCATGCTTAGACAAGTCCTGCATTGGGTTTCATACTCTGTGGCTGTCATCTCCAAAATCTAAATAATTTTAAACACGGGGACCTGTTTTTTCATTTTGCACTGGGCCACCCAAATTCTATAACTGGTCCTGCAAACAGCTTCATGCAGCATCTCTTCCACTTGCTTCAATGTGGTCAAGCCTCTCTAGATTTTTGAAAACATGGATGTCTCTAAAATCCTGGGGTATTAGCAACAGCAATTACAATAGTCACTATGCATGAAATTACAATGGTCTTCTTACACTAAATCACATTAGGTGCGTAGGTCATGTTTCCCCTTTTCTCTCAAAGTAACCCAATTAGGTCCATGCTATTGCTGTTCAGTCACCTTGGTTGCAAAAAAACTTGCCCAAATTATTACTGAGCTGGTGAGATGGCAGAGCCAAAGATCAGGCAGAAGTCTGTGGCTCCCAAGCTCATGCTTTATCAAAATTAACTATCTTCTCTGACATTCTCTAACAGGCTCTGGGTTTGTAGAAGGGGTACTGGCTTCTGGGATATTTTCATAAGCAAACTCATTTAGGCTTTAGGCATTGCCAGTGGCAGCCAATTCTTACTCATTCTGAAATAGAGAGAAAGATCTGCAGACAATGCTGCAGATCACAGCATTGTTTAAATACCTGTACATAAATATGTGGAAACAGTCTATGTGGCTGGTTAAGGAAACTCATGCACACCTACAAAATATAAATTGTATTATAGAGATTTTAATAACACTGGAAATAAATTTTTAAAATTTTATTTTAATGTAATACAAGTAGATATTAATAAAGAAAGTATAAAAAACACTCCTCTTACTTCTGTGGAAAAACAAAATTTCCGAACAAAATAGTAACAATAGTTAATACACCATGTATCATTATCTTCAAGATATTAGAGTACAAGTAATAGACAGAAAAGGCTCTCTTACAAAGAAGGAACAGATAAAAGCACAAAACTTTTTCTTAAATGAACTAAGATAAACTAGTAATACAAATGAAAGAAATAAACATATATGTTAAAA